CAATTCTATTTCTTTAAAAGCTGCAAAATTTTGCTACATAATGTGTAAGCTTCGCCCGGAAATGGTTGCTAATAGTTATTGATGAAAGGGGTAATATTGTTGTCTGTTTTATTGTATGTATTTTTATTGGTCAATGACTGAAATAAATATGATGATGCTGATGATGATCAATACAGATAAAATTATTGTACTTTTACTTGCTGTCTTGCATTGCTTGAAATAAGATGAAGGCTTTGTAAACTATCATTTATCAGCCACTGCCAGCCATCTGAAGAGAAAGAAAATATATTTAGTAGTATACTGATTGCATTGCTTTTTAGCATATAATCTTTTTACAAATCCATACAGATTCAAATTCCAATTGAAATTTGTTTCAATTTCTTTTCAATACAGGTAGTCCTTGCTTAACAACCATTCATTTAATGACGGTTTGAAGTTACAACGGTCTCGGAAAAAGTTATTTATGACCTGTACTCGTAGTTACAACCATTGGAAACCATAGCACCACCCACCACGGTCACATGATCGCCATTTGCTTTTTTTTATGATGTTGTTAAGCAAATCACCATGGTCATTAAGCAAATCACATAGTCATTAAGTGAATTCCAGCAAAAAATGTCCATTAGCGAAGCTGGATTCACTTAACAATCACATGATTCACTTAACAACCATTGTAAAAATGGTTATAAAATCGGGTCTGGTCACATGACTTGCTTAATGACCGCCCTGCTTAATGACCAATTTTTAGTCCCCATTGTGATTGTTAAGTGAGGACTACCTGTATTATGTTTTTAAAAGATGTTCCACAAATAAAAATATCTGCATAAAAAGCTGCCTGAATAGCAGGCATACAGGATACAGAAAAACTGGAAATGTTTGTTTAGTTTAAAATATGTTCCATATTTTCCTGTTATTGCCATCATTCTATAACATCTCCAACTGGCATCAATGCCCCTAACTTCCACATATTGAATCATTCTGACATTACTGTGATGAATAAAACTGAATATAGCAAACATGGCCACAGCATCAAGATGACAGGGACAAAAAGAAACATATCAAAACTTGAACCACTCTGAATTACATCTTGTGACAGCAGAAAATAAAGGAATTTACATGACCATACTCTTGTTAAGTGAATTCAATAACACTGTCTATTTGGCTAAAGTTATAATCATCAATAAACAGACACAGTAATTCTACAACATGACAAACATCACTTACTAATTATAGGATCTTTTCTAAAAGGCATTTTTGAAAGTGATAACTGTTCAATCAAAGTGCAGACTAGAAAACAAGAAGGGAAAAAAAGAGCAATCAGAGCTGCATTCACTGAATTAAATGGTATTTATAAACATTTTCACACAGGGTCATAGTTCAAGAAGTCATACTGTTATTACTACATAGTAAATAGCATTGTATGGCAAATGTGTCAGCAGAGGGAGATACTGTATGACAGGGAAAGATGACTACTACAGAGGAAGGGTGGTAGGAAATTTTATTCTTTACTGCAATTCTGATCCACCACCCTTAACACAAGGTTCTGAGTGCTAGATCACTAGAGGCCTTTATCTCAAGCTGGTTCTATTGATTGTCAGGTCCATTTGTAATGAAATGTCTTTTTGTAATTTGATTTTAGAGGAGAAAGTGGACCTGGCATTTATCACCCATATTTAGCTGGGAGAGAATAGAGGGGTTCCTTGATCTGAAATTTGCCTGGCTGGGCTTCAGGTAGTAGTACCTTCAATACTAGGGTAGAATAGGAAGGGTGCAATGATATTCCATGAGAATTTGATGGTGCCCATATTTGTTCTGTGATAACTTTATGGTGGCCTGACCTATTGTTCTGCAGGTGATCAGATTGAGCTCCTATACTGTATGTGAAGTTCTGAGCCAGAGTCAAGCTGGGGGTGTTGCTGCTACATCTCCTCAGTTTCCACAGTCTACTAAGCTTCTTTCTTGAGCTCTTCAACCTCATCACTGGGCCAGTGATAGATTTCCTCAAGCTTCAGATAATGGGGGATGTCTGGGAATTCACGGATACTGTGATAACCATGACCTTGTCCCAGTCACCATGGTCCCAACTCACATGGGCCGGACACATTAAATCTGGTCCTTACCTTGGAGCAATTAGTTTGTGACTTGAGGGTGGATCAGATCAGACTTAAAGTACAAGGCTACCACTGAGCACTAGGAGGGGACAGATCTATCAAGATGGTCTGCTCCAGGCACCTTATGAAATCATAAGAATGTTCTTAGTAGCACCTCCTCACTGTGGAATTGTTTGGCTCCCAAGATCAGGACACCCTCTGCCCTTCTCTCCCTCTCCCTCTCCCTAATTTGATGTCCTCAAATATGCTGGATACATCACCCTGAAGGCAGCACAATGGCCAATCTGACTACCGAATTGTAGGCCAGCACATCTAAAAGGCATCAGTTGGGGGAGAGGACTACATACTACTCATATCAAGAATTACTCATTACATCTTCATATATAGATATGGCATGCAGAAATTCCAACAAAAAATCATATTTCCTAATACCCAAGCATTCCTTTATTTGAAGGCAGGGGAGAATTCCTGCTTGCATAGAGTTCCTTTTTAACTAGAGCCCCACCACACACATGAACAAGCCCCTTAAAGTGGTGTTCAAAGAGAAGTAGTTGATTTTGACATCAAACTGGCAAGAAAACAGGTTATTGTATCTACATTTTGTTGTACTATGGATTAAAAGCAGGAATATGAAAAAAATGAGAATTATCCAAGATGCAATTAACACTAAATCTCACTTTTATGGATGGTAAAAAGAGCTTTAATGGCATATTAAAATTCTATTCTATGTACTAGAAATGGGACAAGGTGGCTGTTGGTCCACTAAAGAGGAGCAGAATGTTTGCCCCTAAGATCAAATCCTATCAATCAGCAATAATCTACCAACTGAGCTCTGCCTTCAGCTCTACCTTATGTTCTGCAGAAAAAAGAACAATTGATGATCACTAAAATGGTACTAAAAAACTATCAGTCTGGGGTTTTATCATGTTTTAATTATACGTTTTCTCAATTGTTAAGAAAAATATATATTTGGTACAAGAATTTTAGATTAAGGAGAATGGCTGAGGTATACTTTAAGAGAGAGCTATGCATTGGGCACAAATTAAAGAAAGGTTAGCAAGATATTCAGTGAATCAGAAGGATAGCCAAGTTTACATTACATAATCTCAGAACATAATATTTCTTTCCAAATTATATTTGTAAGTAGAATGTTCTATGTCATGTAACATACCAGCTGGCCTCATTAGTTCTCCACCTAAACCTCTGGGGAAAACAAAACAAAACAAAACACTGATTTAAGAAACAACATCACTGTATTTTGCACTGACATGACAGAAAAAGGAAGTGAAAACTGATATATGAATCTAAACTTGCCTGTTTTGCCAAGATTCAACGCATCAAGGCTTAATATACAGCATATGCATACACAGCAAATACCCCATACCCAACACTTCTCCACCTACTCTACTCCTTCCTTTGCATGAGTCACAAACCAAGTCAGAAATTGAAATTTCACTGTTGCTTCCCATTAATTGCAATCTGTGGTTAAGAGCTTGCAAATAACTCAGATTTAGGAGTCAGTTTTCAAACCTGGATCAAAATGGTACACATCTTGATTCAGATGTATCCTGAACTAAGCTTACAAGTGAACTGCACAGTTCTCAGAAAGAGGAGAAGAGAAGCTAACCAGGCTATGTGGAATGGGAATAGTTCTGCAAACCAAAATTTATTAAGGTAGGATTTGTGTTCACAAAAATTTATCTGATGTGCAAATGCAATTTTAGAGTTATCCAACAACCAAATCCAATTGTACCCTCATTTCATTACATGTTTATAAAAAGTCTTTTAAAGTCAGCTTTCTGGCAACTCTTTTGGACTATTCTATGGAAAGCATTAGCTGAAATGTGCTGGTATGAAGCTGATCCCACAAGATGGCTATTGTATTATTTTTGAAAAATAACTTTTACTTCCTTAACAAACTCAATTTTCAATTTTAAAATTTGACTTCATTATTTCTTGTCCATCTGTGATTTATCCAAAACTTTAAAGTACAGTATTATATTCCAATATTTTATGCCATTGAAGGCAACAACTAAAAACCATGACATATGCCAAAAGGGGCTTATTGCATTTGCATCCTCCTTTCCCCCTAATGTACAGTTCAATTTATATATATTGTATTATGTTTCAGCTTCATGCTTTTTCTCATCAGCACTGATCCAATTAAGTTGGGCAGAGAATCACATCACATTTGAAAATACCTGTGATAGGCATGGAAAGGAGATGCTAAGACTGTGGGTGTCTGCTATGATACACACTTTACCCCTGAATTGTTTGTCAAAGGATTAGAGAAATAAAACATGATCAACTAGAACACAACATTAATTAATGTTCACCAAGTCAGGTTAACTAGACAGACAACAGCAGGAAGGAAGAGACATCATAGTTAACAAATCCCTAACACTCTTGAAATGAGTTTTTGGAGAAATGAGGGGCACATTCAAAGGAGACTGCTGTGAATGTAGCCAGATTACAGGCTACAGATTCAGTCACAATCCCAGAGAGAGAGAGAGACCGACCGACCGACCAGGTCATATACAAGCGAGATTAACACAGCCCTTCCCTCAGCTGGAAAGAGAAAAGGTTTTGGTATTTTTAAAACAATAGAAATTGCTGGACCAATGCTGGGATGAAGTGGGGATTACTCTCTAACAACCTCTGACAAATAACTGGAATAGCCAAGAAACTGGGGGAAGTCCAGGTATCTGAAGCAAAGAGAACATCATTTCAAGTTTTCTATTTCTGTACTAATCAATAAAAATGTTCTAGCCAGGAGTTTGTGCTACATGCTTAAGATTTCTGTGTTATGCTAAAATTTAAATGTTCCTGTTTCCCTTTGTAAATTCAAGAATTGTGTGCATCTTCCATTCAAATCTCAGGCTTGTTCATGAATGTATATTATTTCTGTAAAAGCTTCCAGCAATAATAATTTGAAAATCTCTCCAGTGCAGAGATTTCTGCCAGAAACCTAATTATTTGTAGCAGACCAGCTGCCAGCCCCTTGAGGTTGACTAGATCTAGAAACAAATTCCACTAGATTATTTGAACTATTGAGATATGTCACTGTAACAGAATCTTGCAGGCCTGGTTTTCTTTTTCTTCCCTCGTAAACGCAGAAAGTCAGGGAGGAATCAATTTGAGTCTCTTCCTAATGCTTTTCCTGTTTCTGGGACTCAACATATGTTTTTCCACACACTCCTGCAACTTTCTCTGAAGAGTTTCTCCAAGGTCATCTCTGCGGCTTCCTTCATCAGAACTATCTTCTTGTCTGCCAGGAGCACTGTTCTTCTAGAACTTTTCTTTTACTTAAACTGCCAGATATTCTAGGCAGCTCCACAATATATATCCTTGAATACTGGAAAGAATACTAAACACTCCAATACATTTTAATATTCAAAGTTGAAAAGGGCTTTTACTGTATATATTTTCTCTGTTTAAGGAAAAAACAAAGTTTGATTTGGTTCATCTTCAGTGAGATTGATGTGTCTCTCAAAAGGGGAAGGGAACGGCTCAAACCTCTAGTCACTGTCTTTGTGCTACACAGCCAGGAGGTGGCAGTACTTAAGTTATTTTCATTTTTTTGCATTTCGACTCTTTCAATTGACAAAAAGACAAGCATAAGGTGTGAGAGCCCTACATCTTAAACCCTAGGATTAGGAGGACATATGCCAGGTGAGGTGCCCTCTAGAAGTTAGATGGTGGCAGCAGGAACTACCAAGCAGAAGATGAAGCCAGAATGTGAAGACCCAGAGGGCTTCCAGAACAGGAGGTGTGAGACCTCCAGCCTTCTATTCTACAAATGTATCTGAGACCTCTGGACACTTGGAAGTTTTTCTTGAAAAAACAATGATCAATTACTAATCCATTTATCTCCTCCTTCCTTCCTTCCTTCCTTCCTTCCTTCCTTCCATCCATCCATCCATCCATCCATCCTC